TTCTCCAACATGTGGAGGGAACCATTTTCCTAATAGGGAGAAGTTTTCTAGCCACAAGGAAGCAAATCAAAAAAAAAACCCTTAAGCTCCGCTTCTTCTTCCTCTCCTCCTAGACTTGCTTGCACCTCCGCTCTGACTCAGTCATAACAGAACTTTATCTGATGTCATAGGTGTGGTATTTCCATCTTGACAGTAATCAACTGATGTCACATTCACTGGGGCTGTGACTTGACTGCAGACTCAACAAGCAGAAATCTGAGGCACAGAATGAAAATTATTGTCCAAACACAAGCCCTAGAAATAATTGCAAATAACTGCAGAAGTAAAGCAAATGAACAGCCAAGTAAATTAATTCCTTTTTGAATCACTGTTCCTGTTTTTCAAGTCCAAATGATTCTCTTTTCCTATTGAGGAAGCCTGGGGGGATGAAAAAGTGTCCAAGATGGTGAAATTAAAAATTAGCTACTGAGCATGAAACATGCAATAATTGCACTTCATAATGTTTTTATTGCCTCAATGTTGTATGAATCACTTCACAATTCCACAGTGTTACGATGAAAAAAATGACACCAATAAAGCCTAAACGATTGATGTTATGACTTCATCAATCCCAGACTAAAGGCATGCACAGAATGACAAATATTTTCAAGAATACACCTGAGAAAACTGCCATCTCATTCCGAAGATGCACAAATTTCATTTTTATACACTTCTGAAAAGTTGCTGTTCTCGCACCAGAAAATGGAATATTGAAATATTCCTTAATATAAGTCCATATGAAAGAACCTTGCTTTCTCTTTCAGAAACTGGCAATGTTTTGTTTTCTCAAGAGCTATGAATGCAGCTAATACACAATAAGGCTAACAGGGCCTGTATTAGTTCAGAACATTCTCACTCCTTTGAGGTTTTGTGTCAAGATAGTATTGTTTCCACAATAAACTGCACTTAGCTTTACTTTTTAAAAGTCTGCAAATTCTGGAGGCGTGAAGCTGAACCATCTATACCATCTATATTTCACTAAATCTGGAAAAAATAGTTCAATTTACTGCTACTTAAAACTTCCAATAGGACAAGAATCTACACTTAAGGCAACAAAGCAGCAGTGTAGTAATCCATCAGATACAACATCAAAGGTACAATGCAAAGAAGTTACCTCCTGCAGGGATACTGTACCTTCTTTTGACAGTCGTGCTCAATAGCTACCCAAATGTGACAAATTCCTTCAACTGATAGTTCAAATTTGATGTGACTAAATAAATAAGAATTTTAGTCTGGCTGTATTAAAAAAAAAAATCTTCCACCTCTGTAAAGCATCACTAAATCCAGACCTGCTCTGTAACAGCTCAATCTGACAATTTTTTTTTTCTTTCCTTAAGAAAAAAGAAATACAAGCTTTCTTTTTAATTGAGTGGCTAGGCATTTTGACTGAGGTATTAAAATCTCTTGTTAGGATTATTTCTTTAATATAATAGTTCATTTCCCTTATAAAAGCATTAATGGAAAATAAAGACCTCTTTGTTAACTTTAATCTTGCTTCCTTGCAAGTGTGCCAGAGGCACTTTAATATGGATCAGGTCAGGAATATTACAAATTACAGCGGCATGTGTGGCAACAAAGGACTCAGATCATTCATATAACAGTAACACCTTCTTCCGTCTTTAAGAAAAAGGCGTAAACAGTATGCATTGATCTCTCTGGACAAAACAAAGTCAGTTCCTTTTAAATCTTTTTCTGATACTTATAAATCCAGGTTTACAGAATAAAATAATAGCACAGCACAAACCTCAGAATGATGAACCTGGCCAAGGGTGTAATAAAACCTATTTCATTTTATGTAAAAATTCTGTACTGTTTCACGTGACATATAGATACGATAAAGTTAAGCTACAACAGGAGAAAGCTAGTAGGCACTATTTTTGCATAAAGTCTCCTCTGGTAGATTCATGGCAAATGCATAATGAGCAAACCAAAACTATGTACAGGCAGGCACAATTATGGAAGAATTAATATACCAGCAAGAACAGCATTGACTATAATGCAATATAAAATAGTGAAGGGACATTCACAGTAAATTTGGCAATCAGTATTTCAATTCAGAAAAGCACACCCATTAATGTGTACATTTTTCCTTGGATAACGCTGGAACTCATGATAACTGTGGCCTACTTGCCTATTTAAAAGCAAACAGGCTAGGAAAGATTTTCACAGTTTTTACAGAGGTTCACAGACAAGGAAGAGACAAGGAAGAGTAATGACCAGATTTAAATACAAAAATGTTATTCATATACAACAGCTATCCATTACAGAGCCCTTGACTCCTTGCCTTACAACTACAGCGTTCGCAAAACCAACTCATTATTAAAAGCTTACTTCCAGAAATCAAAACATTTAGTGCAAGCTATAATACAAAGAGGAATATTGCCTTTAATATGCCCTATTCCTTTATTATAATTTATCAAAGCATCAGGTGATGCTCACATTAAATGCCAGCTGTCCCGTCCAGCATAGGACACATTAATTATTAGCCCTCATAGTTATATACACTGTAGGAAAGCAAACCTTTGCGTGCTACCCAAATACTCCACCGAAACTCTGCTAAAAAAAAAAAAAAATCCAAAAAAATCCAAACCTCCCCCCCCCCCAAAAAAACAACCACCTGTCTACTAGTCCTGGGGTGACAGAAACTCCAAGAAAAGATGAATAAAGACTTAAAATTCTTCTCCAACATTCAGCATTAACATCCGATGGGACAAGTCTGTCAAAACAAAACCCTAGAAATATCTTGCTGGTTTTGCAGGAAAACCTAGAATCTCTAATTTTGGGGGAATGCAAGCTAGAGTCCTAACTAATTAAATTCTAATCTGCTTTTTCCAGGTTTCATAAAGTGCTATCTCAAATAGGCTTACACTATACTCATCTTATTAGAAGTGCAATATTATTTTCTCATTAAAGAGGCTGTTACAGTGAAAACATGTTAGTACTAAAGCCACAAAAGACTGAGAAAATATGGACATTTTTCCTAATTTCGCTTTAAAAAACATTGTACATTCACAAGCCTGCCTGAAAAGTGGGACTTGCTGTTTAAGTGTTTCTTCAAAGGTATCTCTATTTTTTTCTTTAATAAAGAAGGGATACATACACCGACATTAAAAACACTAATTTACTATCTAGCATCCCAAATTCAGAAGCATAAACATTTATGTGCTTCACTAACCAGTACCTAAGAACACTTTGAAATGAAAAGGGGGCAAGCTAGACTGTTAAAAGTGCAGTTTCAGAATAAGCCTAAGCCACTGTAAAAAGACAATCCCTCTCCTGTTTCTAGCTATTGAATTCTCACTGGATCCCTTTTTTCTTACTTGTCCCTCTTGGCACCAACCTTTACCACATGAACCTTGCAATCGGTGAGATCTGACATATCTGCGTAATTAGAAGTGCCAGTTTAAGGGAAGGAACAGGGAACACGAGGCCATTGGCAGAGAAAGTGGGATAAACTCTTGGCAGCACTATGTACTTAGATTGGCTTAGACCAGTCACGAAATTGCGCACTGAAGAGGATAAAACAAATACTTATGTCCTGGGTTGGGACATCATTTAAGCACGTGTGGCATTACAGAAAGAGACAACTTTCCATACGCTCTTTTGTTTTTCCCCATCTCTACTGAAGCAGCTGCTAAAGTTACAGCACATCTCTCCCTTCCACTGCAGCCCTTTAAAGAATCCTTGCGTTGCTCCTTTCAAATCATCTACACATGTATATTACACATATTATAACATTCAGGTACACCAGTGCTAAAGGAAGATGGTAAGAAATGGTTAGTCTCCCAAACTACAGGAAGCAGGATTTCAGTGGCAGAAAAGGAATAAATGCTGAAACTCTAGAACAGATGATCTGAAAGGCAGATAACCACATCTGTGTGTGTAAAATAAATGGAAGGTTAACTGAGATCACCAATACAACACATCTTCAAGACTGATCAGATTGTGGTTCTTTTTTTTAAATTTACAAGTCCTAAATTCTCTCTGCAAACCTTATTTTCAAAACCCTTCATGAAATAAGACTTTTCTTTCAGTTAGAGAAAGTAAGGCATAATTCAGACCCACAACAAATTATTCCATATGTTTCTGTACCACAAGTCTAAAGTCAATATAGAAAACGTTTTTTTTTCTAAGTTAATTTTGTGCTAAAAAACGCCCATTGTTAAACCATGGACTCAGAGGAACTGGTATTAAGTTTTCTATTACACATAATCTTGCATACAACGGCAATCTTTAAATCTTTTGAAAATATAAATACACTAAGAATGGAGTTCTTCAAGAACTACAACACAGACATACCGAATAGCTTTGTAGCAGAAACAGAAAACTGAAAGGTGCCTTTGTGCCCAAAAATAACTTTTAGTTGTTTTTTTTTAATAAATTATCCTGATCTTACAATTTACAGCTTTAGGATTTTTTTTAATTGTTGTTTTTTATTGTTGTTTTTAACTATGACAGTAACAGTGATCTAGCTATTTGAGATAATAAGTGAAAAAAAGCGCTGTTTGTCTGTTTTTGACCAAATATATTGTAAGAGATCGAAACAAAGATTTATAAAATCAGTTCAGAAAAACACTTTGTAAAATACAATAAAACCCTTTTCAATAGCAAAGTACATTTTGTACAGATCTTTCTAAGCAGATGTTTACTACAGCCTAGTTTCACTAACTCCAGTAAAAGAAGATGTAGGCAAAAAAGGTTGGTGTTTGCAGAATTACAACCCATATACAAAAACTGCAGGTAACATACTGCAACTCATTGGAAAAACTTGGAAAATTCACTCTGTTTCATTGTGAGTGGACTTACAATCTATCTTGTATCACTCAAAAGCAGGTTATACTATAGAAAGACTTTTCACAGAACCGCTCAAAAAACAAATCGGTAATAGAATGAGAGTCACCCTTGAAGTCAGCTTCTCCCATGAGCAAAAATGCCACGCAAATCAAAAAACAACACTTAAGTAAAACACTAAGACTTTATTAAAAATCCAAAATTTATTGCAAATTGTACTTTGCACTTTCCCTCCTTTCTTCATTTTTACATGATTTATTGATATCCATGATTTTTTCACAGATGTACTTGTTGACTTTGGAGAGTCTCTGTGCAATTTCAGTTTCATCCACAGTTTCTTGTGCTATTCTATCATACAAACATTCTGGGGAGAAAAAAAAGGAAAGAGCCATTAGGATATTTTTAGAAAAGAATGTAGCCCTCTGTTGGGCTAACTACTCAAGAGACAGCAATAAGCACTGTGTATATTTGTTGCAATACAACAGAAGCTTTCACTGATTCACTGGCTATCTTTGTTAAGAGGCAAGATTTTTCACCAGGTTTGAATTTTTGACATGACAGATTCTCAGTTATGCTGTGACTACACGAATAGGCTTTCTACACAGAAACAGGGCTAAATCCAACCTTTTAACAGTGCCAGTCTTGCCTGCCTAACTCTTCTATTTGTCCACATCTCCACAGCAGATTCAGAATCTTCTTCCAGACAAACGGTCTCACTAGAACTGTTGTTATCTACCATTCCCTGTGAGTCACTCCTACCATCACACCTTCAAGACATTAAATAAATGATAAGTGTTAGGAAGAGAAGCAGTAACCAACAGAAGGCATTAATTGATTTTTTTCTTTCATCTGTACAACATATATTATAATGTCTGCATCTTTATTGTATGCCCCGCCCTGGTCTCTGTGTGTTGCTTGCATTATTGGAGTATTTGGGGCGAGAGCCATCTTCTTGTGTTTGCACAGTGCACTTTGTGAAATTAACTGGAATACAAAAAGCAAGTAACAGTAGCATCTGCAGAGCAATGAGCACAATGACTTGGGAAAACTCTGTTCCACACAGTTGGTAGTCCTGTCCCTGGTAGGATCTAGCCTATGTTATTGAAAACACGTGGTGCAACACACTCAACTCCTTAGATGCAGATATGTTTGGGATTTTTGTTTTCATAACCAGGAAAATGCATTTTGTTGTGTAGGTTACTAGGAATGAACAGCTTCTAAGATTGATTAAACAAACTCTGTTCTGCTTTGCCTAGTAATCTATTCCAGTAGGCATTTATTGCTTCATATACAGAAAGCCATAGAGATTATCACTTAATTAACATGGTTTATAACATTTCTAATGCATCGTATTAAAAAGTTATGAAAGTTAAGTACTATGCACACTTTGTAGTTTGTTTTGAAGCCTCTCCGAAGTTTTATAAAAGGTTATTTTGCATTAAGAAGGTTTATAACAGTGCTCATGCATCATACTTTTTATAACTTCTTTATAATACTCTATACGTTAGGGATTTTTAAGAAGCTGGAGATATCAGACACATTAAGAGCTAGTGCTGTCATTCAAAAATTTATTATAAATAAGTTAGTCTGTGTTCACAGAATGATGAGACTATCTCAAACAATGTGAATTTCATATTGCAAAACGTACTGAACATAAAATAAATAAAATCAATCAGCATGCAGCCCCATAGGTGAACACAAATTGTCAGTATACTATGATTTGAAATATGATCCCTAGGAAGACACATGTCACTGAGAACCTGAAGAGACCCAGAGTGTTTTTAGGGCATAAATTTTTATCACAGCAACCTCAGGTATACTCCAAAAAGCTTGTGTCAGATAAACCTAGTGAGTTGAAAATCCAGTCAAACGCAGGCTATGCTATTACTTTATCTCAAAGAAGGAATCACTTGATACAACTTGCACATCAGCTGTGGCTCTAAAAGTCAACGTGATCCGAACAGATCCATGATTATTACACTTCTGCCTCCCCCTTTTCTTCCATTTCTATGAGGGGCTACAGATGTAGCAACTCAGTAAGCCACACAAAGGTGTTGGCTTAGGGGCTCCAAAGAGTGATTTGGGGCAGTTCTACCTCTTCTTTGTCTTTTGAGGAGCATACAGATATCCCTTCTTATTTCTGATACGATCAAAGATTCAAGTAGACTGTAAAAAACTAAAAGGGAGCTTTATTTCTTTCTGTGATGCATGATGCAAGTTCCTGGCCAAGTAAACTAACTTCCTAGCATATCACTATTTGTTCGTTTGCTGCTTTGTTTTGTTTTGTTTCTCCACTTCTCTGTAATGGAACGACTTCTCATATGATCACTTCCAAAGTTTCAGAGCACGATGGGACAAGACCTGCTAACACTGATGCAAGTGTCACAGTACAATGCAATGCAGTGCAGTGCAAAATAATACAAAGTGGGAAATCGAGGTTATGTGCTACGCAGCACTGCTGATCTAGGAAGTCTGTTTGCTGCCCTCCTACTGCTACCTAACAGTACTGGGCATGCAGTTTAACACGGTTTAAGAGGAGACTCTACAGCCTTGGTCTAATAAAAGGGAGTCAAATATAGGGTAAAAGAGACACTGGAAAGAGAAACATGGAAAAGCAGGAGTGGAACAGAAGAAATCAAACGAGGGTAAAGGCAGAAAGCAAAAGCATGGCAGAAAAAAAAACAACAGAAGAGAAGAAGCAGGGAAGAACAGAAATGCTGGAGAATGTAAATCAAGGAAAAGAAAAAAGGGAAGTGGCCCCATCCACTTCTCACCATGTACCTGATGGACAGCACTCGCAAACTCACTCTAGTCAAAACAAGACGAGTTAGAAGAAAGCTATCATTTCAATGATTTAAGTAATGCAGGCTAGCTCTGACCGAAGTAGATGAAATTCTCACATAAGCAACTCCACCAGTAGTGCTGAGGACCAAAAGCCTCCAACTGGGAAACAAGAAAGATCATCGCAATGGGCCAGCGAACCTGTTTTTATTGCATGCTTGCAGGTGTCCATCTGTATTCTGGGTAACCAATTCTCTCTCCCATTAGGAGCTTGACAGGGTAGTCACAGCCACAGAGCACATTCCTTACAGGGTGAGTATGTCATTACTTTACTACTTGTGCTAGGATCGTGCCAAAAGGTCCCAGCCAGAACCAGAAAATCAGTATGGAACAGCATGCGCTTCCACATTTATTTTTGAAGTAGATTAGTAAAAAAAATGTCTTCTACTTTTCTTACTCTGAAAGAAACGAGTAAGTGGCAGTGAGAAGATCACTTTCCAACTCCCCCCCAACACACACATACACGCATAAGAAGGAATCATATTTCCTGCTTCCAAAACACGGTACTTTCAAGGCAGATTACAAGAGTTCATCGTTTAAAGCACATAGCAACTAAGAACAGGAAATACAGAATAATGAAGCTCACTCAAATTGCAGAAGAAACTTTAAGAAGGAGACTTCTTTCAGCCCGACTGGAATTTAGGCTGAACACAAAACCTAAAAATCCAATTCTGATATGTATTCCATGAGGAATTGACTCATATTGACTTAAAAAGAAGCCTGAAATACCAAAAGAGACAGAACTGAATGTAAAACACACGCACGATGATACAAGGGGACTGAAATCACCATTCATTTTAAATAAAGGATAGGGCCTGCTCCCTCTCTCAAAGTACTCATGCTCATACTGCAAGCCTGAGTCCCTGTAACTGAAAGTTCCATTGCAAATTTTCTGCCAGATAGGTCAGCAATCTCCACTTCCTGTTCAAATTGCAATTGAAGGCCAGCAATTAATTTCTACTATTCACATTTTCTCCACTTAAACTACTATTCTTTCTCTCCTTTGAAAGTATGCATATTTTTATAGTCAGTGCTGTCAATCGTTTCTGTGCCTCACACCAGAGTTGGTTACATTCTGGATAGGAGAATGTGGTAAGGTTACTCTCAGGCTTGTCAAAAGCAATATATTCACTTACATCATTATCTTATGAAAAGACTTCCAGGACAATGGAATTCTCCAAGCTCAGAGTCCTGTCCTGCAAGTGGTTTGAAATGATGATCTTCTTGAACGTTACTGAAGTCAAGGTACAATTCTTCACCTGTGAAGGCTTGCACTGTGTCCAGCTATTGCAATGTGTCTTTTTTTTTTCTCCTGTATATATATGCACTTCAAAATGCAATAGCAACTTTAATTACAGCTTTTAATCAGTTAATTTATATGAGCTGAAAAGAAGCATCTTTCAACTCAATGATTAATGGTTAAACTCCAAAGCAGGAAGCAAAAGTTTTCAAATAACCTACCTCTGACAATGCTTAATTTGTGAGGTGAGAGAGGTGGCTTGGGAACGGCATCTTTCTTTTTTTTGGTTGCAACTCCTGTGACACTTCTGTTCTTGAGAACATCTGTTCCCCAAATCATAACCGCTAGATTTTTTGTATACTTTGAATCTCCTTGTGTTACTTGCAGCTGGTGCCATTTCTCCTCATCTACCCAAATTCCACTGCCAAGATGGACCTAGAAGGTAGTAATAATAACAACTTATCTATGGTATGTAGCACACAACAGTATCCAAGTGCTGTAGGAACATTAGTATTAGGTACTATAATAACAGTAATTAGGGCTGAACAAATTTATTTTGCCTGATTCTGAAACTTCTCCAACTCTGTGGGTCAGGGAGTTCAAGTCAACCTCATATATTACATAGTTCCTTTTCCTATTTGTTCTCAATTCTTCTTACTCTCTCCTTTTTTTTTTTTTTTTTTTTCCTCCATAGCGTATCTCCTGAGACACTATGGTCAGGAGGAGAGTTAGAAGAAAGAAACAGTAAACACATGAAGTATCATATAACTACGCACAGCATACAAACCAAGCAGTTGCACCAACCTAATGTAGGAGCAAGAGAAAAACATTCTCTTTAATATGAAGGCCTCCCTTTGACTGAAACAGACTCTACCTAAAGCATACTCAGAAGGCGATAGTGAGGGAAACTTTTCCTGCGTCCAATCCTATACCTGTTGGCAAAATTTAGCCTGATTCTTTAAACTAACTAGCAGGGTAGAAGGGATTTTGAGAGCTCCAGTATCAGGATAAACAGAGTTTGGAAGTTCTGTAAAACTCAAATTGTGTTGTTAAGTTTGCCTGCTGTAAACAGTTTACCCAGGTGAATACTGTTTTGTGGTAAGGCAACAACACTGCTGCAGCATCACAACCTTTCCATTATCCAGGCACCGGTGGGCAGAGAGATTTCATTCAGGTGGTAGAGTAGGGCAAAACAGGCACTGGGAAATGCAGTGTAAAGCCATTGCAGAGTCTCCAAAAAGAAACTGCTCGAGTCTAGTTGTGCTTATTACCCTTGCTCAGTGTTGGCTATGCTGGGTTGACTGCCACAGAGCTATCCAGTATCTTTATACCAAACTTCCCAATGCACCAGGCTTATTAAGACGGGTGCAGGATAAGACTCTCTAGGCTGGCACAGTGTTATTATTGAGCTGATAAGCCTCCAGACAACCAGGATACTGTCAAGCAAAATCAGGGAAAATGATGCCAATCATCTGCATGGGTCTGACATGATTGCAACCAGTAAGCTCAACTGGACCCAAATTCCGGCCCCGTGCAGAATCACAGAGTATGCTTTGTACCACATACGTCAATGCTCTAAATTCCTGGAGCAGCGTGGACATCTGAACTGCCCCTTGCATACAGAAAACTTTGTCAACTTGTTGATAAACTTCACTCTGTTGGACCCACACTGGCTCAGCATCTGTAGCAAGATAATGCCTGATCTAGCTATTCTTACCACTGATAAGAGTTCAATGCATTGGAAAAGGACAAGATAGAATTTATTTTCAGATAATTCTTTAAAAGTAGAAAATACCAAGCAAATAAACCAATGTATAAATTGAATTTTTATATCCAAAAATCAGGTTTCACAAAATCTGATCAAACAGAGTTTTTTTCTGTAACACTAACACTTTAGCAAAATGTTACTGCCTTCTCATCATTTAAAAAAATCCCGTGAACAAAATTCTGTGGCAAAAGTATATTGGATGATTTGCTTGGCTTAACTGTTTTGCTCTTAGTGTTCTGGTTTTTTACTCCTTTTGTGTGGAATTATGTAAAACTGTACCTGCTACCCATAAGGATCTCAGTAGAACCTCAGAAGTCCCATTAAATTCACTGAAAATTGGAGAAAGCTACTGTAAAATTTTTATAAACCTATAATTTTACTGCCTTTATTTAACCAAACTTCCATTTTCCTTTAAATGCAAAGCTGACTTAATTATTATTGAGGGCTATAGCCTGAAGAAATTTTTTTATTGTGACAGCATCCTTCAAAAGTAAGTAGTTAAGTTTAAAAACTTAAATACAAAAATATGCGTGGTCTGGCTATCAGCTACCTCATAAAAATGAATGAAAACCAACTTCCTCAAAGTATAAAAACATAAAGCAAGCTGCCTCTCCTGCAGAAATTTCTACGCTAAGAGGCTTCTAAGAGGCTTTTCACAAGTCCACGCGGTATTTAGATTTCATAACAGACAGAAACGGAACTAGCAATAAGCACAACACGAACAGCCTTTTCCTTCTGTCTCTCTTGTTGACCTCTTCATAACTGCTCTAAACATTTACACTTTTTTGGTGCTTTCTACATATTTTGTGAGACAACTTCATTCACAGTGAGCAGTCTGTGCTCAGACATCACCACCTCACAGGTATAACTCAGTTATTTCTGTTCTGATCTTAGAAAAGTCATCTCTAAAAATGAACATCATAATTACGTAGAAAGTAAATAAGATTAGAAACTTTGTGACATGCTACATTTTTGATTTCTGTATTAAATTAATACTAGAGATTGCTCCATTTAATCAAAAACCTGATTCCTCTCTGTTAAGATTAGGGTTTGTCTTTGCTAAAGATCGTCTAGTCTCTTAAGCTAGTGAGCTTCATTTGAAGTTACTTTAAAATAACAAGTTGCAGCAAAAAGTTGCAATGTTCATGTTTCAAATAGATCATCTCATCTTTGAACATGCTTCATTTATTAAAAAGAAGTCATCATTGGCATGAAACACCTATCGTAACAGCAGCTCCATGACAGACAGCCACAGCCACAGAAATCTTATGTCTCTCTTTTCTATTTCTAGCACTGCTATGGCAAGGAACTTAATATTTCCATGTCTCAGTTTACCTCTCTGTAAAACAGGCTTAGTACTGTTCCCTATTACTCCCAAGGCTATGGGAGGTCTACTGTACTCCAGATTCAGAAGTAATTTCTTTCTTGCTGGATGGGACAGATCCTTGGCTTGATGAAATCAATGAGAACTTTACGCCTGATTTCAGCAGCAGCAGGACTAACCTTCAAGCACAGTGCAAAAAACAAGAACAAATTCAAAGCAAGGCTCACCATCGTAACTGTGCTAACACATGCAATAGATTTAAACGTATCTTAGAAGATGAACTTTTTCATTTTTTTGAAATGAACGCCATGCTCTTTTTCAGTAATTCTGTTCTCTCTCTAGACGAGGGAGATTTATCTGCTTGGAGAGAATCCTACTAAGATCAAATCCAATGTCACAAAGCGCAAGGTTTCTAAAAGAGCATTTCAACTACTATGTAGCAATCCACGTCAATAAAGGATTAATGGAAATAAAGGTAGATGAGATATATCTTGAGATAGCTAAAAACCCCCAAAACAGGCAAATGTAAAACAAACTCACATTACAAAAAGAAAGTTAAAGAGATTTTGATATCTGTCAAGACAGAGAAAACTTCTGCAATATAAATGCAAAGAAGCTGACAGCAATGGCAGAAGAAATAAAAGTGTGGAAAAAGCTACATACAAATACTAAAGGACGTGCCCTAGCCCATCTACTGCAAGCAGAAAAAAAGGAGATAAACCAACTCTCATAGCAATACACAGCAAGTTTTCATTGGCAATAATATACACAAAGAGCAAAGTAAATGAAGTATGTTAAATGTACTAGGCAAGAAAAGCTACCTGAACCAAATAGCTGTCAGAATGCCCAGATTATACTATTTGTCACATACGTTTTGTCTGCACAACAATTATGTCAAATTCATCTTCAATAAACAGACATTTGTGTACTCAGTATTGTAACACAGATATGAAAATGTAATATTTCATGCTACTCCATCACTAATTCTGTGATATGTCAGGACTGAAATGGAAATTTCCTCCTAAAAAGGTTCTCCGATTGTGGTACTGAATGCATGTATATCCTGAGAGTCCGGATCTGCACAGGCAACTCTGAAGGACGTATGGTTTTTGTAAAAGAAATACAACGTTAATTTAACGATAACGGCAACAGCTATAAAAGCAGGCCTGGGTGGATGAGCAGACAGTATGTTAAACATGCTGGAGTCTCAAAAACTATCGGTCAGGTATTGATAAACTGCAGCTAGATGGTATCTCAACAAGTTCATAAAAGCATCCAGAAAGTAACACTACTTCAGCTCAGGGGCAACACTCCCAACAAGTTCAAGGAAGCCCTTTTCAGTCCAGGGTTCAGAATTACCTACTGGACTCAAACTTAACAAAAGTGTGAAGGCTTCTCTGTAAAAGGAGTAGAGCGCACTAAAAATATTAAAGCCCTTTTATTAAGATGTATTTCTGTCAGACTGGTGTAACTTTATTGACTTTGGTATATATCTAGTGAATTTATGTACGTCACCAATTTAAGACTCTTCAAAGGTGTTAGTGCATATTTACTAACTATATTTGTTGTCTGGCACAGGATTCAACATTCTTATCACTAAGGATAACTTTCAGTGCTGTTGATATTTGTGCACTTCCATCGTTTTCCTCAATGTAAGAACGTAACTTCGTGAAAACTGAGGAGCTTGCTATAGGCTACTAGCCTTGCAATAACCCTAAGATCATGAAAATTCTGCAAGAAAATCACCTGAAGGACATTTTGTAAACTATTCATGCTATATTTCATTTAAAATACCTTTCCATTCTCGAGAATATACTTGTCCATTACTGGAACAGGGGCAGGATAATACGTTGATGTATTTGCTTCCTCACTGAAGGTCTTCTGTACCTCAGGTTCGGGCTCAATTGATTCTGGTTTTACTTTTTCAAGCTCAATGGCAGGTCCTAGACAGTTAAGAAAAAAGAGCTGTCTGCTATCCCAGAGAACATGAAATAAATCACTTCATCACCCGTGGTTAGCATAAAATATCACATTAGTCATGTTCATTTTAAAGTCAGAAAGGGTCCAAACCAAAATCCTACTTCTGAACATCAATAAGTAAAAGCTGGATCAGTAATTTGGTTTTATAAACATTTTAATATGCTTCATTTTAATTTAATTTGTTTAATTTTATTCTTAATTCATATGGACAATTACAGATATGGATAAGATTGTTCAGTGCACACTAAAGAAATTATGCTATAGCCACACTGACTTTATAAACCAGAAGCAACAGTAGTATTTTTTCAATAAGAATTACTATATAGCTACTTATAAAACTACATAATTTACTGAGGTAATTATAAAAATTATCTATATAGAATTACATATTTAATTAGATAAAAATCTCTTTAAAATCTCTTTAAATATAATAGAGACATATTAAAAAATATTTAGGATGTACAGAAACCCTATAAAGAAAACAGGCATAAGCTACTTATGCTAAGTATCATGCGTAGAAAGAGTATCCTAAGTAAAAAAACACAACAAATTAGAATTTTGATTATCCAATCCCTCCACCACACTGATTTTTATTTTAATGTAATCAACAAAAATTAACCATAGCTTAAACAATAGAATACTATTAAGCATATGTTTGAGACTTCAAAGGAAGATAATTATTTTGCCAGTCATCAGCTTTTCTTTTCCAGATCAAATTTATAAAGTGTTCCTAAAAATGTAAAAGGGTAAAATAAAATAATTTGCAAATTGGATTTCATTATTCCATTAATTACAATGGTTAGACCAGAAGTCTAGTAAGAGTCTAAGGCCCCAAGCCTATTATTATCTCTCACTGAACAGGTCTCTAAGCTCACGATAAGCTCCAATAGTCTCCGAAGCTCCACGCAGGGACAGCAGTTTGTTAACATAGCAAAAGCTGAAAGCTTAGGTCCTGGACACAACAGTAATCACCCATTTCCAGGAGCTGTAAGGGTAACTCACCTACTTGCAAGAACTACAGTGTACCAGGTTGGTGCTGAGAGTGCTGCAGTACTCTAGAGTCCAACCTTGACATCTTCAACAAACGACAAGGTAATTCAATAAGCATATCACCGCCATGGATCAGCATCCCACCTCAGTGTTTGTACATACAGATCAAGCCCTGAATTGATCTAACTCCGCAAGTCAGCCTGTGGCATCAGAACTCATGTCTTGAGTTACATACCTTAAATGTTTCTTGTACATGGAACAATCAAAGCATCCCTTCCTTCTGTGCTGTGCAGTTTCATTTACAGATGCAATAATATCAACATTTCCTTCATTATCAGTGTTTGACATTTATGGTATAGCTTATTCTGCACCTATGTACCAAGTGAGATGTTCTTAGCTATCACCTGACACACTCACAAGGACTAGAAGCTCTCCAGACAACTCAGACGGCCCTATACTGCAGTGCCACAAACAATTTCTTAAGAGCAAACATGGCACAAATAGAGAAATCACAGAAAACAGCATTTGCATTACAATATCATAGTAACCTTAACAAGCACCTATACTATCAATGTATACACAATAGTAAGACCAAAATAGACTAAACTTTCTTTACTTGAGACTGCTAAACTGATGCAGACGGGGGTAAAAACCTTCGTTGATTAAACCATCCAAACTCTCTGCACACGTCTTACGGTTGGCACACTTGAACAAGCAGATACAGTTACATAATTGCCAGCAAGAATTCAGGATGGAGAAACGAACTTTTGGCTGTTACTTTAAGAACGCATTCTTAGGTAAAGTGCTATTTTGAGTTTTCTTTAAATGTAATATTCTTGCACTCTGAGAGACAATTTGAGGAAGATCTCTAAATCCAATTCCTTCTTCCTAGAAGGAAAAGCGTATTTCAGTTTAAACATTTTTACTACTCTCTACTTAGGAGTCTTTTACAGTCTGTTTATAGTAATATATTGACACAGCTGGGATTTGGATTCCAGAGTTCCCCCCAAAAAAATAGCTGATTAAAGTCCACAATAACCACAGCTCTAACAGGCTAAAAAGATCTCTATTTTAATTCATGTTTAATTGCTGAGAAGCCACCAACATAAAGCCTTTAAAACATCTTTTATACTCTAAAAGCCTACTGATTATTTTTCTTCCTGAAAAGAAAGCTACCTCTACCTGGGTAGCCTTCATCTCTACTTTCACTAACTACTAAAGACTGCATTTTCAATACAACGTGTGAATCAGACATGCAACCTGCATTATTGCTTTGCTACTAATGAAAGCTGTGCACCTAATTTACCATGCACCATACTTTAAAAGTTCTCTCTCTGCAGCTCTCGTGCTCTCCATATTTTAAACGTGATGAACGGGCAGGGGCATAAAAATATAAGCCACTGTCTAAAGGCTTAAAAATGGTAGTATTTATTACAGAAGGATCATACGAAAAATTAAGACAAGTCTTAAGAATGCAAAAGGAAAGGAAAGGAAGGTTGCATTTAAAAATCTTCTCCCTTCTGTTAAGTAATGTTTCCCTAATACTTGAGGGGTCAACAACTTCAAAGGCAGTGTAAAGAAGTAGAAGGCTTCCCTTTATCACTTCTTTTTCTCCAAAATACTTCATAGGCTACTCTCTACTTAAAGATTAGTAAATAAACAAAAAAAAAATTGGTAAATGAACAGGTCAGTACACTTTTGTTAGCAGCAAGCTGTTTTTCCACATTGTCTACTAGAACTTGCACGGAAACAACAGGAATCTGAGAAGTGTTAATATTTTATATATGGTATTTCCCGTCCTTGTTGTTGATAGAATACTTAGACTTTTTTCAACAGAGAGCTAAAAAAAAAAAAAAACTAGAAAACCTTAACAATAGTAATTCCTTAAGTATGTGGTAAGACATGCAAACCCTTTTTCATCCTCTCAACCCTGTTGTCAGTCCCAAAACACTGTAAACTAGATCACTGAAAAGACTGGGGTTAAAAATAACCACTTGGGTGTGGAGAGAGGCAAGTTAAAGAGCAGGTGGCTAGAGCATGGGGAAGAAAGCAAGTACTCCCTAAACGAAGCAGCGAATGAAGGTGAATACACTCTCTGACCTTAGAGAATGCTAATTCTTAACAGTACAACATAAAAATGCATTAAGTGTCAGAGATACACAGAACTACAACCCAACATTATCCCTGATACAGCTTTACTACTTCTGGCCATGCACAACAATACTAAACCGTACAGATCTTACCCTGGAGACAACTACTTTTTTTAAAAAAAAAATTCAAATTCTTTTATTTTGTAATCCAAGGCATATGATTTAATCCTCCAGATCACTCGCCATAAATAAAACTAGGGCAAATTAGTGCCTTGTCTGGTGTGTTAGGATGGAGAAAAACTGCAAAGGCCTATGATCTTGGGGTTTCCTGATTCCCAAGTACATAAAGGGAAAGTGGGAAAGAGGCCTTGGGGCTGCGCACAATCTTCAGGGAGCTCAGGTGTGGGACGTGGTAACCTCCTCCAGGATAGTGACTATTCTCCCCTCTGCTCTGCTCCTTAGAGCTCTGGGCAACAGCTTCCCTCCTCCAAGCAGTGATTTGTTAGGTAACTGCCTATCAAAATCATAAGAAAGTGTCAATATTTCACAATGAATCAGTATTGACTTCACTGCTTTTCCTCTGCTACTTCCACTGTTAAGGCTTCCTTAAAGCAAACTGCAATTCACTGTCACCGTGTGAAAGGCTGAGAACCCCACTATTCCCACAGCAGAGGCTTAAGTTTTAGTAACAGAGGTGAAGACCCAGGTGTAAAGTAGGGTACACTGACTCTTAACTTTTCACCGAAATCAACATATTGATGGGAAATTAGGAGGCTGAACACTTGACTGAATGTTAGCTCTAGAGGGTGTTCTATATTTGAGCTGCAAGTTTAAAACAGCAACAGGCACGCATTTCCCACAGCTGCAATTCATCAGCACAAAACAGCTGTCATCTCATGCAAAGAAATCAGAAGTCTCGAAGGTGAAAGAGAAATGCAATTAGTTTGCATGAAGTCCAGCCTGCTGTGAGTAAGTTGCATGTAATTTGAAACTCTAGGTTTAAGAGATCACCACAACAACTGAAGATAGATTCAGGATATAATCTATTTTCTGAACAATTTTCACATATTGCTCACATACCCAAACATACCTCATTTCTAAAACTGGAAAGGAAAGGAAGACCATGCTATGGTGCTTTGCATAGAGCACTTTTTTTCACACTATCATAAGACTCTCCAATTTATAATTTGCTGAAGCTGTCTCCCCTGTCTAATCATCCATAAATTTGTATTGATCTTTCTAGAAGCTGGTTGTTTCTCTACTCTTACGAATGTGGCTACAAGGAAAGACCCTAAAATTATCAGCGGTTAACACATCAAGTTGTGACAAACAAACATATAGCCCACAGGGCAAAACTCAACCTTTGTGATCTATGAATAGTTGCATCAAATTCTAAAGGTACCCAGGAGAGAACCTGCCTCCATATTATTCTAATGTTAGGAGCAATAATAACAAGGGATATTTTGGGGAGTTCCCTATACTTGATACTTGACCAAATATATGATTAAAACTAAAAGAAAAATCTTGTCTCAATGTAATCAAGATTTATTATCAGTTGAAAAATGGGTGCCAGACTGATACAACAGAAACTCGAGCCCAATATTTAGAGAGAAGATTCAGCATTTTTCAAGGGTGTATTTTTTTTTCCTTCTAAGCTCTCCTGTCTCAGCTCAAGTAAAAATGTATCACTCCTTCCTTAAAGTGGAAGAAAGGAGAGAGAATTCAGAGGCCGTCTTCATTTCACTACTGGTCTCACCACTGAGACTGCTGTCAAGTCTACCGACTGAACTGGTATTTTACGCTGTTCAGCCCCATTGCCTACAAACATCTGGCTGGTGCTCCATTCACATAAATTCCAGCTAACTACTTGCAGATGAAGAAACATCTTTCTATCCAAGGAAAATTTTACAAAGCTCAACGGAATCTACTGCCAACCACATCATGTTTTTCAGATTGTGGAAAAATTGCCTGTTTAATTTTATTAAAAAGTTAACTATAACGTTTGTAATAAGTAATGACATTTTAATTATGCGCAGGGTAACAACGATAAGCACTCACAGTCAAACATCCAGTTTAAATCTTCCAGATGCTACTTTGAAAACCTGGCTCCAAACTTGCAGGCACACCTAATGCATGCTACAGCACAGGCACATGCTTCCTCAGATTCAGGTTTGTATGTGAACGGAACTCAGATCCACATGCAAATTTCATGCACTCATTCAAGTCAAGTAGAAGAGCCAATACCCAATTTACATGCAAAAATTAGATTTCCAGATACACAAAGGCAGACATAAGAAACAGCATGCCATTGGATGCACAAATTTTAACCAAGTTTCAATCACCAAGCAAACCTCCTTCAACACACTAGTACCACATTCTAATGGCAAAGAAATATAAATTAGTAGAATATTTGAAGGTATTCCAAGGATATCATCTTCAATGACAAGGATGAGCTTTTTATTGTCTTTTTTTCCCCCATTTATTCCAACATAATGGTTAAATAATTGTTATAAACAAAAACAAAAGAGCAGTTCAGTCAAGATATTTAAAATTTAAATCCAAATTACATAAACCTGCATTTTGTAACAAGTGTTTATAAAGGGACACTAATTATAAAAAGTTTTTTCATTATGCTTTAACAATCCGTTATTTTTCAAACGGCATGGCTGTTTAAAGCCAATGCTAAAACGTTCTGGAGTATATCACATTCTAATGAGCTACTAAGGAGGAGAGGGGATGGGAAATGTAAGGTAACACACTGTCCGTTATATAACAATAAAAAAAAACCTAACTGAAAGGAATAAAATAAGTTTTACCCCAAATATTCAGTGCACTACCTTTTATTTTTTATTTTTTTAAACTGGAACATATTGGTGTACTTTGCAGATGAAAGTTTATTTAATCTTTTTCAGCATATACTAGAAGTTCAGAGGCCCTTTAAAATACAGCTGTTTAAAATGGAACTCTTGATTCAACCATACCAGCACAAAGACCTCTGCTATCATTAAAGAAAAACTCAGAAGTACACATCATACAAATTCGACATATATCGTACAGCCGTAGCAGAAAACCCTTTTAACATTCAATGTCCGGTTTAACAACCACTGCTTCCTTCAAAAATGTTTCCATTACTATTGATCACACTTCCAAAATTCATTAAAACTAGTCCCGTTTAAGTCCAGCACTTACCACTACCTAGTCTTAGAAGCAGTACATCCTGTAGTCTCCTGTTCAAGTCTCTGAGCTCTTTCATTTCTGACACGAGCGCCCCATACTCCTTTAGCTTCTTTGCCTGTTGCACAAGCTGTCTCCGAGTTCTCTCAAGCTCCTGTTGAATGTGTCTCATTTCTTCTTGCTGCTGTTGATAACTCCTCAGCAATTCTTCATACAGAACCCGAGGAACTACAGCATCGTCCATGTTGTTCATGCCTTCCGAAGTCTCCATAAAAGCTTCCTCAGGGCTGGAAGTATTACCGAGACTCATCCCATTTTGTTTTTCAAGGCGAGCAACAACTGCTTCAATACTTTTGTGTGTACCTTCACTTTGTTTCCTCCCATCTTGTCTCTGCATGTTACAATAAAAAAAAAAAAATTAGAAGAGTGATATGTAATACAAACTAAAATTTTAGACTTGTGGATGGTTAAGATTTATTATTCCAAAAAAGCAAGACAAAGTCTGCCTGCAAAAATGTTTTGCCTAACAGATTATGGAGACATACACTGTAACTATTATGCACTCATAATTTAGCTAAGTGTACACACAAACTTCTGAAGCAGTTAGTGGCCTTTTTTTCTGCATTTGTGCAACATTTGCAAGCACTGTGTGTTATAGGTCACTTGATTCTACATATGAAGATAACCTATTTCTTAAGGAAAAAAAAAAAAAGTGGATCTGGATCTACTCCTTTGACATTTACCCCTAACATTCAGATTGCCTACAACAGTGGGATTTTCTGGTAACTGAAAGAAAGAATCAATTATGTGTTGTTTATCACCTGTAATTACACCAGAGAAGAAAGGAGGATAAAGCTGTTTTATGCACAGAGGGCTTGTACTTCCCAAATTTTGGGAGACAAATCCTTCTCCAACTATTCCTGTAGTACATTCACCCAAATGCCTGATGAAAGCGACTGAATTTAACACTATCTACAAAAGAGGGAATTGAAAATATAAAAGTTGGAGACAGAATTTATCATCTAGTCTCATCTCCCTGATGAACTGATTCATTCTATATTACTACTGCATTGCAGAGGATTCATTTCCTGCGAACTATCAGAAATTTACCTTTGGTCTTCTGCACAAAATCCAAACCCTATACAAATAAAAGCATACATCTTTTAAGGGGCTTAGATGGCGATATTAAAATGTAACAGCATGGGTAAAAGTCTCTAAGTTTTTTTATTAGCCAAATATGGAAAAAGCATTTGAACTTCCAAGCAACTGCAAGAAAGCAAATGGAGCTCATAGGTTAGAGACAAGAAGCTGACACTATCAATTCCCATACCACAATATCCATGAGTAATGTGGCAGAAAATGAGATTATTTGATGTTACGCCTGCTCCAGGCATGCTCTAAAAAATGCTGGCCCACCATAAAGAGATGTACTGGTATCATTCCTGCAGCTGCAAAACACATGAAGCCACAGAGCAGTATTTTATTCTGAAGGTTGGCAAACTTTTAAAGAAATCATTTGATATCAAAAAAAAAAAATACATTTACATAGTGGGTTTTTGGCATCTTTACCTAAAAAGGCAACTGGCAGTTATAAAGGAGGGATGCAGTCTTGTCAGTTTGTCTTCTCACCCACTGTTTTATTTGGGAAATCTCATAGCACCCCTTTCAATTCCAAACAAGCAGAGCGCAACAGGTCACAAGTGCCACTGAGAACAGCTGCTCAACATTCATATAACGACTGACTTTTAAAGCATTCTGGGCCAAAGTCAAACAGCATCATTCAAAAAATCTCAAACCGTAATTAAAGTGTGCAGACGGTATAAAAAGAAAAATGATCGATCGCACATGAATCTGGTTTTTGAAAAGCTCATCTGTAAATCAATTCAGAACTCTCACCCTTACCCCATCCTCCCCCACAGTTTGACCCAATTACACCAAACATAATGTTTTTAGGGGATCAAAGGCAGGCCTGGAATTCTCAAGCTATGACATCTGCATATGCCCCAAGCACTTCCAAAAAAAAAAAAAAAGAAAGAAAAAAGAAAAAAAAAAAGGAAAGACTTCAGTACCTTACTGTGTCTAAGCTCCACATCTTCTTCCCCATAATCTGTAACCTCCCCAGCTTCTTCTACGTGATTGAGAGAGAGTTTGGGGATTTTAATTTTCTTCTGCATCACACTGTTCTCAAGGTCAGTTTTGTCTTCTAAAACGTATATTAAAAATAAAATTTTGTTACATTAATCAGTGTTCTTACTTCCGAATGCTATATAACTTAGGCAAGATCAGTTTAAAAACTCCCATGCTTCAATACATTGATAATACTATGGATCAAATTAATCCAGGGCGTAACTCAACTGATATCCACTGACAATTCTAGAGTTTCAATAGGGGATCAATCTGGCCATACACAAGAGTAAATATTCTAAAATGCCAAGGTAAAATGTGAGAGTGATCAAATGTGTCAATGACTAACTACTACTATCACCAAAATAAGAGTTAAAGATGCTGTAAATCAGACAACTTCTTAAAAATTGTCTATATTACTTTAAATTATGTTTACCAATAATATTTTCACATCCACAATCTGTTGCAGCAGTTCAAATTCTGCTTAAGTTTAAAGTGAAAGTGAATTTCGTAATTCATCCTATGCTCTAACCATCATCTGTCAGCAGTAAAGACCTATTTGCACACATGGCAGAGTCCGGTGTTCTGCAAAGAGCAGGGCTGGAAAAGGGGATGGTGCAGGACACACTGAAGAGGCATTAGCGAAAAGCTGCATACAGATTGGATCTGTACCACAATTACTATGCTATCCCTATTTCACTAGTTAATGGTCCTAATCCTTGGCCTTCAGACATACAAAACCAATAAATGGTCATATTGATCTCTGAATCACAGGAAAAAAAAAAATCAAGTAAAATGTTTTTTCCAGCCTGAAAGATTGTGAAATATGTCCAAATTAAGTATTTCAAAAACATTACTCTGCAATAATGTTTGAAAGATTCTAAATATTTCTGAAAAGGTGCAGAGAAGAGAGAATCAAGAGTCTAGGCTCCATAAATGTACATTTGATCTTGAAAACTCTAGCAGAGCAGACAACATCTTAATAGATTCACAAGCTTAGCTACACGTTGCAAGACATTCACAAGGAGATACACATTTATATTCTGAAGTGTTGTATTTGTACATTGAAAACTTATGAATAAGAAAACATTTTGAGTCTTCTTATCCACCAGCAAACTGTAATCCAGGAAATGTCCCATGAATATTTTTGAAAGTGAATGCGAGGATGCCATTTGTGAGTGCTTAGTTGCATTGACTTTTACTTTCTCAAATTAGCATCTCTCCACAGGACCTCAAAATGGTTAGTGTTGACAGTGTAGAAAAAGGAAACAAAGGTAAATCACTGTTTAATGAGGAGCAAGACATTCATTAGAAATGAATTACACAGATGAATGCAATTCATTTTGTTACAGATAGAAACGGATATCTTGCAGGCAAATGGTGATATTACAGCCTAAGGCTGTGTAAAGACAATAGGCACAGAACACGCAGAATAAGACATTAGACAACCTGAAATGAAATGCAGATGGTAGCAATAAATACTGAGACAGATGCAAAAAGAAACAAATAAACAACAGAAAACAACTAGGCTTATTTTAGATCGTTCTCCATTCCCCAGAGCACCATGGATGCTTACTGCGGCTAAACAAAAAGGCAATTCAACTGTTTACATTTGAAAAACTACCTTTTCATTTATCTGAAAAATGTAGGTGTGTCAGAAGAGTGAGTTAGCCCACTTCTACTCTTCAGAGAATAGAGAGGAAAATTAGAGAGCCCTGAATTAGATGGACAGCAAAAATGACTTCAAAAAATTATGAAGGAGAGGCTGATAGAATAAACAAACCCATACTGAATGAAAAACAATTAAAACATTTTTCTGTGACTATATATTTTGGGGCATTTGATAGGTTGATGGCTCCTTTGCTAAAACGTGTTCTGATATTTCCGTAGAGGAAGGAGGTGTGCGCATGCATACCACAGAGCCAGCTTCTCTAGACTGCTTTGTCAAATCACCTTCCACAAAACCTGCAGAAGAAGCACTTCTACAGTTAAAGAACACAGATCAGTTTCTATGGGCCAAAATAACCCTTGGCCTCTTAATAAGACGGATACAATTCATCCACTTCACACAGTTATCAAAATTGTCTGCTGGCAACTACCTTATGCTCAAAACTAGCCGGAACGTCATGCAAACTGGAAGCTGACACTAGTCAGCCTTCTCCACCGCCAGAGAAAAGTCTTGAAATACTCCTGGAAAGAGCTCAGAGAGAGTAAAAGTACGTGCAGATTACAGTGAAAGTCAGCAGATACTTTCTGACAAAAAGAACAAACATTAAAATAAAAACAATTTGGAAGAACAGAAATATTTATCTCTTCATTTGGGCTTTTTTTTTTTTTAAGTCAATTTATAAAGGTTACGAACAGGTTTAATACCCTGAACAACAACAAAAAGAAAATATTTAGTTTGGAGTCTAATAAAACAATGCAAACGTATCTGAATTCTTGTCTCCTCTCCCCTCCCAATTTCTCAGTTTGACCATGAAATCGACATTTGCCAAACTTTACTGGTGGACTGAAGGTAGACGTTTATACATTTGCTAACCAATACTTAATTTGTAAATTATTAGTGTCTAACTGTCAACACGGTTCTCTCCGTCATATTTTGCAAATCTTTTCAGTTGCTTTTTACATTTTACTGCTTCTCCTGTAAATGAACCTGTAAGTTGAAGAAAGGAACTCATTTTTCCACATAAAATTTGAAGAAACAATGTTAAAAATGAGTTTACATAAGTTAAAGCTCAGGAAACTTCAATTTATTCAACCAACAACTTTATGTTTGTCTGCCTTCCAGTATCAGTACATAAAATATTTTGTTACATATGCTCTGCTCTTTCTAGGCCTATTTATACTTAATGCAATTGATCCAGTGTATTGAATATGAAAAGGCTTTTTTCTTTTTTGAAGTGTATTTCTAAACTCTTGTCTTCCACATTAACTGCAAAAACAGCCAGAAAAATCTCATTGTGAATTTGAGGATAATGCTGGAATACTGTCTGTTGTTCAGTAAATATTAATGGAATTGGGGTTGGAGGGGAGGACGCACAGCAGAGAGGGGAAGACCAGGGGAAGAGAAATAACGAACACGCATTTAGAGCTGTTCTTATTAGGACTTTGTCTCTGTTGTGCTAGGCTACAAGGGACATGTGCAAAACAGGAATCCAGCAAGAAGTAAAACATGCACAATTTTCAACCAGGAAAAAACTAGGATATGAACCAAATGGCTGGACAAGCAGAAAATCAGGGCCCCGAAGCTAGACAACCTACTAGGAGTTGTAAGGGCAGTCCTAGAAATGCTGTAGTTCAGAGCTTTGTTTTGTAATGACAATGTGAATCATTTGCCCAGACTTTGATCCCAGTTATTCCAACAGTGCTACAAGTTAAAAAATTATATCTCCTCTTAGGTGGTCATGATCAAATTGTCACGAAAATGTGTCTATTCCTTTTTCTATATATGGAATCAGTGATTCAGTAATATGGCTGCTGAGAACTAGTACATAACACACCTAATTAGGTACCTCTAACAAAATAAACGGGGCCAAACCCTGGTACTGGATATGGGGTTCAAGAGATAGCTTAGAGGATAAGTATCATTCACCTCCATGCGGCCATCTACCAAAGTTGTTCAGGTAATACAGAAAAAAGTGAGTTGCGGAAAAAGCTCAGAGTGGCTGGGAGACGTTTGGACTCTGCAGCGCTAAAAAACAATGGCACTAGAGAATCTATATCAACTAGGAAAGGATAAACTGTTCCTGGAATGTTTTCTTCAGTCAAGACTTCATTTTAGTGTCAGACTGGGTGGATATGGGCCAAAAGGTAATAGCTCTAAGTCTAGAGAGGCGGAGAACTGAGGCAGACAAAGCGAATTTGACGGAGCAGGAAGTCAGCTGGTTACATTCAGTAAAAATATGCTAGTGCTCTAAAATATGCTAGTGCATCCATCCTGACATGTAGAGTAAATATATGGAAAGCTCAGTGCCTCCTCAAAACATTCCTTACTTTAAAATTTTGAAGTAAGGACTGAATAAAATAATCCTTTCAAAAAAATAGTTCAAAAGTTGTTTTTTCCACCTTTGGAGTAGGAGTTGGAAAACTAGAGAAAGAAAGCTCTGCAGTCCAAGTAAATGAGAGATGGCAGATCTGGGATCTGTCCAAATAAGGGGCTTGGCAGTGCTATAAATCTTACAATACTAAAAAGGAGCGAACCTTGAGCAAAATTTGTCCTTCCCTTAAGCCCTCAAAAAATTCCATCCCTTGTGAAAATGATATACTGACAGTTCAAAAAACTTAACATCAACCCTTCCTATTTTTAGGTACATAACCAACACATACGGGCAACACTAGTACAAAATTCCCCCCATACTGCTGTACTAAGTTGCCTTACTACTAATTTAGACAGGTGGCTTCTACCGAGCAGAGAACATTTACCTCTGTACCACTTAGAACGCACACTTAAGATGAAAGATGCTGAAAAACAAAAACAAAAAACCTGCAACCAAAGGTATACTTGGCCCTTCAAAACAGAAATACTCGAAAGAAGCATAACAGGGCATGGATTCCTAACTGCCACTTAAACACAAATAAACAATAATCAATATTGCTGTGACTGAGAAGGTAAACAGCATGATAAAACAAAAAAGCCAGCTAGTTTACCTGAAATTGGACCCCAAAAAAATCATAAATTGCTTTTTTAGCTAATTTATCGCAGACATCAAAGAGGAAGGACTTTGACAAGAAGAACAGAAGAGATTTAATAAAAAGGTAATGATCCTGCAGACTCAGAAGGTGTTCAAGATACTGAGTGAGAAAAACACTTCCTGCAAAAAGCTTCTTCAAGCTAGAGCACACTGAGATTAAGATCCCTACCAAAGCAGAAGAAAAACAGAATGACAGTAACAGACAACACTGGATAATGAACGACAGTATAAACGTAAAGGTTATTTGAAGAGAACAGGTGCCAAACTTGATGCAGTTGAAAAAGGAGATGCCAAAGATGGATTCAACAGGGTGTTGGCACAGACAATTTACCATTCCAAAAATATAATTTACTATATTGTTCTGCACTATTTTGCAGACTTGAGG